CCCCCCCCCCCTTCCCTTTCTTGCTTCATGCCCAAAGTGTTCCCTCTAGTTAAATAGAGGACCTGAGGGATCTGATTTTTGTTCCTTGCTGTGCTATAAACGTTTTGTGAGACTATGGACAATTCACACTATCCCAATATCATCTTTATTCTTTCTCTGAAGATCCCTAACCCCTTTGGTTGATGCTAGAGGAAGATATAGAGCTTAACTTATTGTCAGTTACAAACTTAAATGTTTAGTTGTAAGTGAGATGGATCTTGCCTTATTGTGCCCATTTTCCATATTATAAAATTAATGAAAATAATGTCCTACCTTCTATGTGTTATGAAGGTAGATTTTAAGTATTCTGGTATTTTTATATCTTATGGTATCTGAGAGAGAAATTGAGTTTCAAATTAATAAATCTTTGTTATATTACGATCTCTTCAGGTAGTTCAAAATCAGAAGTGTTGTGTGGATCCTCTTCTTTACCCAGTGCTGCTAAACATGTTGGTAGATTGAATCAGGTAAACACCAAATGTCTCTTTCTAAGTCTTTTTCTCTTTAAATGTGCTAAAGCCCGTATTAAGTAACTAGCAATAGATTTACATAAGCTTTCAAAGAGACCCTTTTACTTTTCTTTGTGGAATGTCATAATTCATTTTTATTCATCACTGTGTATATGTTCTTTATAGGGAATGCCTATACATGAAGAAAAAAAGAAACAAAAAGGAAAAGTGTTTTTGAGTCCCCAATCAGGTTTGTATCTCTTAATTCAGAAATTCAGTGTAAAAGCATGTCTCTTGCTTTCCCCATCAATCCCTATGGGAACTCTGCCCAATATGTTGAACACAGCAGCAGTCCAGATAGGTTGCTAGGTAATTCTGAAGTGAAGCCATTTTTTCTAACTGAAAAAGTGTACAGGTTTTTTTGGTTTTGTTTTGGAAGTGAAACTTGTAAGGCATGCCAGTTTTCTCTGTAATTTGTTCTTTAGTGAGCTCCAATAGATTTATTTTGCAGATTGATGTATTGGGTTTTATCCATTTCTCTCTTATCCTTCCTGTTTTGGCATATATGGGGTTCTGTGTTTCTCTTCAGGGACCACATGTGGAGCACTTTCTTGTGGGGCTTCCTCAGAATAATCATCTAAAATTCCACGTGATAGCTAACTTTAGTCTATGGAAGCACATCCTTTGTCTGAGCTGCCAGCATGCACAAAAGTTAATTATACTGGCAAGCAACAGTCAGATCATGACAAAGGCTTTTATGTGCTGTCTCTGGATCAGAGATGTGTGTATTGTTAGATGTATGGTTGCAACTGCAGCTTGCTTACAATAATTTTACACACTTAACTCATTTAATGGTACAATGAAGATTTTTTAAAACTGCTTTTTTAATTACCTTGAGTCTTGAATGCAACTCTGCAAACCTTCACATAGCTCTCATTTGGGGCATCTAAAGGGGGAATTAAATAAACAGTGTTCACAAACTTCTGAAAACTAAACTGCAATCAAGTGTCTCAAATTAAATTCTCAATTTTGGAGTATTTTCTATTTTCACTACTTCTCAAGACTTAAGGTTGGGCTTTTTACACAGTGATTTGTCATTAGGATTTAGTTATAAAAATTATCATCTTTATATTTTAATATTCCCTGCTGTCCATTAGCAGCTAATAATATTAAGTTGACTTGTGTTTGTTTTTATCATAGTTCAACAGTTTTTTTTCTCCTGACTGATGTTTGAATGTTTCAGTTATTTTATGTTTGTTTGTTTTTCTTAACTTTTAAAGGATTCACAGGACAGCAGCATAAACTATCCTCAACTAAAGTTTAAAGAGACATGGGTATTTTATTTTAGATTGCTAGTCCAAAAAACTATGGATTTTAATATTGTCTCCTACCATGGACCCCTGCTCTTGAATAGATTGTTTGAGCGTTTTAATAAAAGCCATGATGTTTTGTATTTGTTTACTAGGTAAAACATGTAGATAAGGGCAGGTACTAAAAATGGACCATTTTCAAGGTTTTATTGTTCAACCTGATCCTTTCAAAATGCACTAAAATTGTGTGCAAGCCAAATAAATGATCTATTTTCTTCAAAAATTAATTTTTTGAAGGAGGAAATAGTATTTATTAATGTTGATTGTTTACTGAATCCTTGTGTAAATGTGTTTGAAATGTTTGTAGACTGCTACAGCTGTGTTTGCGAACTTTTTTCTGTAGAGAACTGAAAACATGGACATTAGTAAACTTATGTATTTAAAAAAAAAAAAAAAAAAATCTCTGTGGGCAAACAGTGCTGTTGAGTTCCCTCCCGCTTCTGTGACTTTATGAGAGTTCATTTATTGCTGCACTTGCATACAGGGAGAAAAAAAAGACTAAGACAGATCAGTCCTGTTTGCTGCTAAAAAATCTTTTTTCATGGCCTTGAAGATGTAGACAAAATTGCTTTAAGGATTTAAAATATATATATATATTATTTGGCAATTGTGGAAAACGCATTTCCATTTTCATAAAATGTGAAGAGAATCCTTCTACCAGCCAATAATTAATGTTATCAACTTGAACCTTACTTGAAATTCTTCCATAACTGGTAATGTACCATCTTATCCTGTTCAGGAAATAATTATTTACATGGTAAAATGGAAACCACTGTTTATGATTTTGAAATTAAAAAAATCAAAATTCAGACAAGTTTAAGTTTCTTCTTACACTACACTTAATTTGCAGTATTTTTGAATTAAATGCAGAAATAATTATAACTTATTAGAATTATCTCTGCTCTTTAAGATGTGTCCTGTTTAATGTGTTTTGTTTGTTTAGTTTTTTCTCTCCTTAACTGTCTGTTTCTAATAAAGGTAAAAGCTGGAATTTCCAAAGAGGCCTTAGGGTACTGGGATCCAAACTCCTATTTTGGGTTTCATCCATCTATAAATTTCTAGATGTGCAGCTTTCCTTTTTTAAAAAAAAAAAAAAAAAAAAATTCTTGTCTTCTTTCTCACCATATTTTCGAGCAAAATCTTAGCCACCAACAAACAAACTTTCAGCTTTCTTCTATAGCATATTTTTTCAGACAAAATAAGTAAATTTTCCCCCTCAAAAATAAGTTGTTGTACTTTTATTCATAACCAAATTATGTAGCTGCTGATATGCCTTGTGTATGCAATGACTTAATTAGCTCTCTATTCAGATTTATCTTCAGTTTTTGCTGATAACAGATATACGGGTATAAACCTGTAAGGGACAACAGCATCATAGCATGTAAAGATGGAAAACATGTCTTAACAACAAAAATCAGATTTACACATACCCTCTTCCATTTGTGTCATTTTGTGGTTTAACTGTGAAGCTTTCAACTATGAAATTTCTGAACCAACATTTGGATGAAAACTAATTCTGCAGGTTCCCAGTCCTCTCACTTTGGAGCTGCTGCTTCCTTATGCAACTACAAGTTTTATATTGTTACTATCTCGGTCCTAAAATAAATCCCACACGCTTGAGTTTTATATAAAAGTCTTAAACCAGTAACTAACAAATGCATTTGTCTGCCTAAATGCTATTTAAATAATGTAGTGATAACTTATAATAGGATGATCCATAACACAGAATAAACACAGTATTGATGAGACATAATCTGCTGGGTTGATTATTAAAGCTTAGTTTATTGTAGAATCTTAGGAAAGGGGTTGAAAATTTAAGTAGAAAAGTGGGTTAATTCTTCATAACATTCAAGATTCTGCTTGCTTCACATGAGTATATTCTCAAGGGAGCAACTTTCCACATTTAAAAAAAAAAATCTGAAAAGACACTACTGTATTAAAACAATTTTTCTAGAAAAAACAATATCAAAACTAATAGTAATAAACTGATTCTAATAGTTTATAGTTAAGCTATGACTAATAGTTTAGAAAATCAAAAAGCAAACACTTTCTGTTGAACAGAATTGCTCTTAATGTTGCCCTCCAACAAATTTCAGTAATAAACACTCCTGGGGCTAGAACAGACATTTAGTATCCACTAAGTAGCTAGCATGTCTTTAGCATTCATGTTTAATTCCGAGATGCTCATAATTCTGTAGCATCACTATGTCTCTTTTAATCGATTAGAAATTTCTAACTTACTACTTCCCTTTTGTTATCTTCTGGAAAGTTGTTATGTTTAGGGAAGTCAGATGGCCTAGCCATAGAAGCCCCTGCATCTTCACTCAATTTACTGCAATGCATTAATCTTTGGAAGAGTCTTTCTGGAACATTTGTGCTTATTTTTAGGAGCCCTTCAGCCTTTAGGAGGCTGCAGAAAGATCTATACTACGCCTATACTGTCCCTCAGATAATACAGTGGGACAGTGAGCAAGTGAGCTGATAGTACTGTTCATTTGTGTGTATTTTTTTATTTGTTATTGTATTGTTTCATAGCAATTCCTCATGCTCTTGATGTCTCTTTTTCCAAAGTCAGTATATGTTTCTTGTGCTATGAGTAGTTATCAGTGCTGAACAAAGGGGGAAGTACTTCTATGTTTCAGGTATGCAGCACAGTTAACCATCTTTCTAGCTTCAAGCTTGCCAATCTTTCACTAGCAGAGATGAAGAGGAAACTGAGGTCTTGATGTTCTGGAATATGAAATTTTCAGTGCAATACCTATTTCTTCTACCTTTTCTCCTTGGTTTATGCTCTCTGGTTTTTAATCTGGAGACTAATGAGGACCAAATAACGAACCTATCTGCATTCTCATTTGCAGTAATGTGAATGTTTTTGTATAACAGTGAAGATTTAACAGTTAAAGTATTTACCTCTTGCTTTTAATTTGTTGATGTATTATCAAGATAAGATTTGAGGTGTCTTTTGACTATGCTTCAGTAATAGCTATTGTTACTTAAGATGAAACCAAGGTCAACTATCTAGTTTACCTATCCTAGCAATTTAATCTTAGTTAGAAAGCTAGATAACTACTAGATTATTTTAATTCTTACTTCCTTTTAAAAAGCTAACATTTTCATATTTTAAAGACCACAAATCCAGCTCTTCTGATTTCACTCTTCTGATGATATTTGTTTTGTAGAGATATTAAAAAAGTTTGTCATTATTAAAACTTTACTTAAATGTCTTTAACAAGAACTTGTTTTATAAACCTGATCAAATTTTTATAAGAACTGCAGAAGCTGCATCAAAAGTAATCTTTGCTAGGAACTTCTGGGCAATAAATGATTATGTAGAATGGGTGCTTGCTAGCAAAGAAAATATTTTTTTCTGTAGTGATGAAGTTAACAATCTTTTGTGTTATTCACTTGAACTATTTAGGTGTTAATATTGTTTTTTTAACCTTTATCTTCTTTTAGTAACGTACTAAAGATGAAAAACACTTTTTTTTAAAGCTATTTTTGTAGTCCATGTTCAGCATTTTTATGCTGAGAGCCATTCAACAGAAAAGTGACTAAAGAGTAATAATTGGAAGCATCCTAAGTAAATACAAGAAGGTAAAGTTCTTTAGACCTACCTGGTAGACTGAATCATGAATAAAGTGTTAGTTGCATTATTTTTATTGACATCAGCTTCAGGCTGATAGTTGGTTCAAGCCCTCCCCCCTGAAGTAGGGTGTTTTAGATGAGAATGTGTGTACAATTTGCATATACTTTGTGTAGCTAAAGAGAATGTAACTTTTTAAAATATTTACTATCTTGATTTTATATTTGATGTAGAAGTATGATGCCTCAGTCATAAAGAGCAGTGGCATGCTGCCAGAGGAAATGGAAAATGGGCATTTTTTTTTCCTGCCACCATAGCCATCTAGCTTAAGTATGGGATTACTCTTCCTGTGCCAAGGCTCTCGCTGTCCCTCCTGGGTATCTGGAAGTTATCACAGTGCATCTCCACAGGGCTGGTGTGAGCAGTGTGGGACCAGCAGCAGATAACAGTCCCTTTCAGCATCCTTCAGGTCTGACTGACATGCCCCTGCTATGCACCTTATACATGAGAGGTGAAAAGAGTGCCTGCTCAGAGAGCCGCTGCTGGGCGAAAATCCAGAAGGGGAGCAAAAGAGGTAGTTTGAAGGGGAAGAGAACAGACCAAGGAAAAACGTTACTGTGTATGCATGTATGTGCATTCATTATCCAGGTGTGATCCATCAACTGTAACCTGTCATACAGGTTAGTTTCCTATTCTTACATATTTTACTGAACAGTTTGTCTGAAGCGTAAGGGTTTTGCCTCAGGTTCTAACCCTTAAAACTGAATAGCCTTATGCTATGCTGCTTTAACGTGTTTGTCTGTTACCTTTAATAAATGTTTGTGTTCTTTGATGACATTTCTCTTCTCTAGACAGGGACTATAGATTTAGGATTACTAACGCGATTTTAGTGGGAGCTTGGGGGGGATGGGATTGGAATAGGGTTAGAAACTGGTGCCTGATGCTGTTCCCGTAAAGCCAAAGGGCAATTATCTGCCAGGGCTTTCAGGTGGAGGCGTGACGGTTTCCCCCTCCTGCCCTTATCTTTGCAAGCAGCCCTCACTCCTCCCTCCCCTCCCGTGCGCAACGGTCGAGCGCTGTTTGAAACGGAAAGTGACCTGCCTCGCGGCAGCGGGCTGTTAACGGCTGGCGCGGTAGTGGCAGGTTCTACGCTGCCTCAAGGCCGCCTACCCCTGGGGCTTCTGGCAGGGCGCCGCCCGGCCCGGCTCCCTTGGCTATGCGCTAAGAGTGATTCTGCTGCACGTTAATTGCTCTGCGGGGCCGGACCCTTCAGCGAGCGGCTACCGCTGCCAGGGGCTC